TCATCACACGAGATGCGTCATCGAGTCGCTTTGAATGATCTAAGACTTAAACGTTACAGATTTGTCTTCTTTTTAACAAAAATTAGAATCAGTCTAAAGATCTTCCTTATACCTGACGTAAACTATCAATTTCGCTACTTTATTCGCACAACGTCACATCCGTAAGAAAACTTTTTTTGTATCATGTAGCATTTTTCATACAGGTTCTAATCGTGTTTCACAATTATATTCATATCATAAAACATAAACAGCATATTTTACTTTTTAGTATTCAAGTATCAGATAGACGGTCTATAATAAAATAGTTAAAATTATTTTGCTTTGAGTCAGGGTGAACCATAAAGTGATAGATAAATTGTGCTAGAGCAGATTAATGTAAATGTAATGACAAGATTATCAATAAAATAATAACCTCAGTGAATAACATTGCGTATTAATTTCTCTTATTATAATATACGAGATATATTTTTCAAAAAGAGTGTTATTAAAAGTAAAAATATAAATAATTATAAGATATCACTGATGTTACTATATTCTTGATAAAGTTTGCAGGAATTTATAAATTTTATCAATTGAAAATCTGCCTTTATCTGCTCATTACAACTACATGATTATAGTTTAAATTTATTTTCGCTATCGGTGTCTCACAATCTCAAGCTATTCAACACACCAAATTCAACTTCAGTTCAATCACTTAACATAAGAACAAGGATCCCCATTACCCCATTATAAATAGTGTATAGATCATTTATCTTTGATACTTATTATCGCTTTTATGTCCAAAGATTATATCTTGCACTATGCTGCACAATGCGAATATCATGGACATTATTTTAAGAAAGATGGTTAGTCAAAACGAAAAAAAAAAACAGCGTGATTTGTACAAAGGTTCCATCATCGGATATTGATTTTCGATTTTACAAGAATTAGCATATTTGTAAAAATAATGTTTATCAAGCCGTTTAACATTACATTATTTTATGAAAAACTCATGTAGATTTTAAAAAATTATGCTTTTAATTAATTTTTTGATACAATTGACAACGCCAAAAATGTTGACCTTCTGGTTTTATTGCTTCTTGTAACAACATACAATATGGAGTCAAGAGGAACCTTGAGTGGCATGCATGAGTCGAATATCTCTAGTCAGACATTATTTAATAGTGTAATTTGCTCCCATGCACATCACACCTCCAGACTTCACTCATGCAGCAAAATGCGCTTTTTTTAATTATTTCTTTTAATATAAAAAAATTTATTTCTATTGACTTTTAAGCTCTTTGCCAATACTGTACGACACAATTTTATTCCAGTCAATTTTTGTTCGCATTACTGGTAATTGCCTTCGCAGTGCTTTAAAGGTGGTGTCGGACATTGTTTGATAGTTCTCGGAAATTGCCGTTTGATAATCGTTTTCAGATTCCTCGACAAACCGTATCAAATCCTTTGCCGTTTGCTTCTCATTAGAGATCGGCAGGCTCTCCTTCACGTCTTTGCTACTGACCAATTGTACATTTCCATCCTCATAATAATGTACTTGTACTTTGAGACTACCTCTCAGTTCAGCGTTACCCGAACTTGGGGTGAAACTGACGGTCCACACTGAACGCCAGCGGCCGTTCCAGAAATTTTTAGGTTGAAATTGATGATCTTCTATGCATGCTGTTAGCGTTATGTTTCCTGCGTTAAAAAAAACAATTGTTACTCACAATGTCCTCTGATTTGTTTAAAGTCAAGTAACTGATCGAAATAACAATTACCTGCAAGGGATTTTCCAAAAACTGAGCAAGCGCCATGTCTGTAATGACTTTGAGTGTAATTCGTTATCTCTTCTTGAAGGGCTGACCTCCAAGGCTCCGCTAAGGGATCTGGTTCGTAAGATTCATAATCTTGCGCCTCCTTTCTCAGGTGATCATATTTAAAACTTTGCTTACTCCGCGCGTCGTAAAACCTCTGAGAACCCAAGTCATTGTGTTCTGTTATGAGCGCTGGGTGGTCACTTCCTTCTATCTGTACGTGATGGAAAAGACAGTTTTAGTATTTTACTTTACACGCTCATTTTTCCTTATGCTATTAATATATCACTATATATGTATATTTTTGCATGGTCTCGGATCTATTATTTTACAGAAAAAGACAGATGTCAAAATTTGATTTTTTATATTGCAAAATAAGTTATTTGCAGTAGAGGAAAAACGAATAAAAAAGACATTGTGACATTGCCACTGTCATTGTACATGCAGTGCCTAACCTCAGCTGAATTTACGACAGTTTCCAAAATCACGTAGCAATCTAGGAGAAAGAAAATAGTCTTCGTTTGTACATTCGGAGATTAAATAACGATACGATGTTCCTGTTGTCTAGCTAGAGCTAAATTTCCATAACCTGGCTCGAGAGGGGGGGTCGGGTATTCGAGCCGGTCGCGCGAGAGCCGCGGAGATGTCACGTGACGATGATCGTCACCTGGAGCGAACGTCATCCGCGCAATGAGTCCCAAAAGGTCCCGATAACGCGAGATAGATAAAGACAAAATGTTTAAGGTCACCGTGGTCGCGCCTCGCGGGCTTTCAGAATCGATACATACACTTAAAAGGAAAAGGGGGTAAACGCGCAAAAGGGCGCCAAGGGTGCGAGCCGCATATACCGCAAGTTAGGTGAAGGCCGCGCGGAAGAAATACAGGGTCAGCGTACGCGGTACCGTCGGCGGCCGTCTATAATGATGATGACGATGATGATGTACCTTAACAGGCGTGAGCTGGTCCTTGTTATACTGAGCGAAGGCTCCGGACGCGCCCTCCTTCAACAGGTTGTCATTGTTCAGCAGGACCCTCACGTCGTTGAACACCTCGTTAAACTCGCCCGGCGGCGAGTGCAATATAAAATCCGAGACTATTCGCACTTTTTCCTGGTCCGGAATCACCGCATCTCCGTCCGCCGCCATCTTACCTTTCCCACTGGCACGCACACTCCGCCGCCGCCGCCGCCACCGCCACCGCCACCACCATCACTGCCACCACCACCACCACCACCACCACCGCCAACACCACCGCCGCCGATGTCAAAAGCGAGGGTACGGTGCGGTGGTCACGGACAGCTTCAGGTTGTGCTTGGTCTCTCCTCCAGATCGTGACTCCGCTTCATAGTTCGCATCCCGTGGCGCCGCTCGCACTAGCTCGCAGCGGTGCTGATGGTGCTAATATACCGGGTGACGCCAGTTCGCCACACGTAAGACACGTCTGCCTTCCTTCCCCGAGAAAGAAGGAGAAAGAAGAAGAAAGAAGAAAAAGAAAGTAATCAAGTCTCAAATATAATCACCAGAAGCTGCGAAATCTTTTCCATCTTTCTCCTCGTAAAAACTGAATTCCTCTTCTGTTATTTTTTTCTTTTCCGCTACTTTAAAAGTTCTATGTGCAGATGTGATTCATATCGAATGAGGATGAATCACACCCTCGGAAAAGTCCTTCGCACACGGAGACGAGCGAAACATGATTCTGGCAGATAACGTATAGCGTTTATATCAAATCTGGCAGCAGAAGTGATAACGAGCAATAATTATTGTCGCTCGCGTATATACCCAGCAATATATTTTAGTTCTCAAATAAAAATCGTTTATTACGTTTTCTCGTTTATGGATACGGAAAGCGGAATAATGATAAAATAATATACGTTGTTATGTTATTTATAAAAATAATATTAACGTTATATGTGTATGTATATACATATTATTGTAATAATATAGCATTTCTAATCATTCACCTCCACGCGACTCGCATTTTGCAGAACATTGAATTAACAGTAACGTTACATCGCAATATTATAATTTCCCACTCAATAATATAAATGTAATACAATTAATACACACATGTACATACATAATAGTTGTATTGTTAAATTAAATAAAAAATTATGATACATTGATGTAATTAATAAGTTTGCAAACGCCACCCGATATATTTTTGTCTAAATCTTTACATGAAAAAAAATTATATCACATAACAGCAATGTAAATAGCACTTAATACCATGATAAATGATCGTTTATTATAGACTGAAGTTAGCGTAGAATCACAGAGTATTATCGATCACTCGAATTCTCTCGTTCGCAAATCAGTAATAGAACAAAATCGACAGACATGTTTAATTACTCTTGTGCAAATAATTGGAGAAAAAATCGTTATTTCGAAGACACACAGCGTGAAAGATATTTTATAAATGTAATTTGGATCATAAGAGGCAATGATGATCTAGAAGAATTGTTCCTATATGTTACGCGTTGTCTCTTTTCAAATTAAATCCTTTTTGATGCGCTCGCAACATCTCGCGAACGAATAACGCTAATTCCACGCTGATGTTGAATTTTCAGCATCCGCTGACATCCGCATGCTAATCAACGTCGTCTCAAAATTGTAGACGATACTTTTCGATTGATCTACTATAAGACGTCAGAATTCCGATTGAAAATGGCAGACGATCCGAATCGTGACATCTTGCCTGTAAAGGAAGGCTCCTGCATGGATACGATTATTTATCCTATAGGTTTGTATCCATTTGTATCTGTCGTATATAATTCCAGTTGGATAATTTAGCCAGCTGTTCGATGCTCTTCTAATTTGCAGCCTTCCTATAAGTGCGCGCGAACATAAATTTCTTCCTACACAAATCTATTATATATACTATTTATTTGCGTAAATGAATAAATTTTGAATGTTGGAAGATCCTAGAGAACGTCATCTCGTTTGCAAACTCGATCGCTATCAGCTAGAGGATAAGTATCTACGTTTACTCGATGAAGCGAGCAATCTGAAGAAATTATCCAACTGCCAGGAGGACAAGATTAAGCGGCTCGGGACGAAGCTGATTAGATTGGCTGGTAATCCAAGATTATGTGGATTAACGTTAGATATCGCCGATGATAGGAATAGAACAGCTGCTCTCGAGCTTGAAAATATCAAGGTAAACTACTTTCAAGTAATAGCAATTCTTTCTTTCTCGTGTATCATGACATAATAATTGGATCTTCTACTCGAAAGAATAATGTAAATACTCTATTGTATTATTTTCGTACAGCATGGATTATTAAATTGTTCATAATATTATTAAGTTACATGATACTTTTTAACGAAATTAACGCATGCTAAGGATTATATGTAATCTGTATATGATCATTATTTTAAAAAATGAATATTCCAAAATATTAGTAAATATTTCAGCTGAAGGAGAAAATTGCTGTGATGAGGAATCAATTGTTGAGTCACACGATGAGCGGCAGGTCGTCGTCGCGTAGCCGTAATCTCGTTAGACCATCGTCTTCTGGGATTGTGTAAGTATATGTACTAGATATATGTATATATCATGACTCATTATGTCGCGGCGCATTGAAATACTGAATCGGCTCCCTTTAGGACGTATCGAAGTGAGAATAATCGCATGAGAGCGCCGTCCTGTCAATGCATCATCGGGGCAGGGGACGATGATAACGACATGCGAAATTACTTCATTAAAATCGAGGTGAAACTAGTCCGAATAAACTCGATATTTGCACTATATATTCAACTTCATATTGTCTCATCTACTTCGTATGGCACAATCAATGTCATATTTTGCGTATATAGAGTAAAACGAATTTACGGAATAATGTAAAGTAGCATGAAATATGTAAAATGTTATTGCATGAGTATCTTTGCACGATTTAATATTTGGACGAAGCATACCTTCACGAGAGCATATACACTTGCTCGTATTAATATATAATACATAATTCTTACTTAGCGTCCAACTTTTGTTCGTAGAAATTGGAGGCGCAAAAGAAAGACATGACATGTCGTATAATAGAATTGGAGAAAGAACTGGAGTATTTAACCAATAATCGAAAAGAAAAAGTAGCGGAAAATGTAGAGTATATACGGGTGTGGCGACAAATGAAGCAATTAAACGATAAATTAATGACAACCCAGGAGAAAAATATTACACTGACTACCGAAATTAATGACTTGAAGACAACTCTTGAACTGATGACGAAGTATATTTATTATCAGTCTCTTATTTTTGTATATATAACAAATTGTTTAATATATGTATTTATAATTTAGATATTATGAGAAAAATGGTTAAATATAGTATATTTCTAATTTGAAAATTTATTATTTTATTAGAAATAATCAGGAAATAGCGGCTGTTCTTTCCTCGGAGAGAACGCGCATAGCTGAGATCGACGACCAGATGTTGAAGGCAAAAAATTCACAATTCACATTACGCGAAAAAGACGAACAGATACGAGATCTTATGAACGAAATTAAAATATTGCAACAACACAATAACGAACTTATTATGCTTACGTCAAAATACGGGCAAATGGAATTAGAGAATATTGAATTAAAAAAAAGACTTTATGACGACGCTCAGGAGCAACAGATTTTGAAGATTGCTTTCAACAATGAACAGGTTAATATTACAGCGTTAAAAGCTACCAATGAGCAATTACTCGTGAAACTTCAAGAATTCCAAGCAAATATAGATGTTTTGACAGCACAATTAACGGTTAGTATATATATCTACTGTACATCTAATTAAAAAATTGCCTAGTGCTTGATTAATTCTCATTATCAGTTTTATAATATTTCCAGTCTTTGCATACGCAAGATAAAAAGGACTTTACAATAACAGTACCATCGGATGTGGAACAATGTAAAAAGTGTTGCGAAATGTATGATAAAATTATGCAACTGGAAAAAATTGGTAACACTAGAAAAGATTGGCAATCGGCAGATAAATTAGTACAAACAATCGGCATTGCTTACACAAGGAAACAGGATACAATAATTTCAAATAATGAAGATAAGACATCGTCTCAATCGCTATTGAAGGAATGGAAGATAAATCAGGAAGCGAATGGCACGAGTGTTTTATCCCGAGAAAAAATATTAAAATTATTAGATCAAGCACAAATTAACATTCCTTTGGATGCATCAAGGATCACTCCTAAGAAAGAATGCACAGGCATTTTGGACGTAGCTCAGAAGCACAGGCAAGTCGTACCCCTCGAGAAGCTACTGTTCGGTGATTCTAATTGTTGACAGAAACTCTACCGTTCGGTACTAACTGTAAATATATATTTTATAAATATAACATTCATATTCTTGTACAAATGTCTAGGAAAATTGTTTAAATATTGTGTCAATGCTTTTGTGTGTGTGTGTGTGTGTGTGTATGTGTGTGTGTTTGTATGTGTGTATCATGACCGACATATATCTATTTTTTAATCAAGGATTTTCTCTGTATTTTATATATTGCATTCCTTGTGTCGCAGAAATCAATAACTTGTGTACAAGTTATAGAAAAACTTGTGTGTTCAAAAATCTAATAATTTCTTGATATTGTAAGATATAAATATATATATATATATATTTTATATATTCTATTTATTTAAATAAGTGCATCATTGTGTACAACAATTTTTGTGTATATGTACATTTTAATATTCAACTACGATTTTGTTTTTTTTTTGTGTAACCTTATTTTATATATTTTGTTTTGTACCTTGTTTTTCATATCTTTTAACACTATTAAAAATTAAAAAAATAGAGTTTTAATATCACTAGTATCTATTGCAGTGGTGGAGAAATATCTTCTCAGCGTGATATATCAAGCGCTATGCAGGAGAATTTACAGAAAAGATTCGCATATTTGGAAAATTCAAATATAACACTAGATCAAATGATTTTGATTTTATTCGACGTTATGCAAGAATTTTTATCGTTTATTAACGTTGATGGAAAACGTCTGGATCATCAAGTATCTGCGATCGAAGATCCGTTAATTGACGTTAACAACAATCTTCCTACAAAACCTATTTGTGACATTAAGCAACATGATTTTAATACAGGAGCCACGAAAGATTTCGGTAATGATAATCATATAAACTAAGATTTTCATAAACTCTTTTAACTCTTTTTTACGGAAACAAACGCATCTAAAAGTGCGATAACGATTATACCTCCAATAATTTTAAAAACTATTATGCGAATTTAGAATCTGATCGTTGTACGAATTGTCTTAAATCGACTGCCTTTTATTCCAAGAATTGCAATTTTGCATGCAAAAAAAAACCTGCAACTACCTTAGCGTGTTCACCAATGAAAGATATATTTGATGCTACTTCCTCTCCTATGGTTCACAGAAAATTATCATATCGAGATATTAGTCAAGATTTTTGCGTAAGCAATTATATTTCTACATGAAGCATTAAATTATAGTGTAATGTCAATGATTTTTATTTAGGCAGAAAAGATGGTAAAGATAAAAAGATTAAAATCGCCCCATTATCCCAAATGTAATTTAATGTGTCACTTGCGCAAAGCGAAAAATTCACTGTCCCTGGAGGAGAAGCGAAAATTACCTTGCACAACCAAATGTTTGAACGACAGTATAATGTTACCAATATGTCCAATGGATCCTTTATTAATTACTGACAGGCAAGGTCTCATTGAGATTCACATTTCGCGATTGCAACTTTCTACATCGGTTAGTATATCTCATACATTTTCCATTGTTTCTTGAAGTGAAGAATATAACCTTGTTATGTTCATTGAGATCATTAGGTTACAAATATTCCCGAAGAAGATATATGTAATCTTTACATTTACATAAGCTGGGATGTTTGGGGCGAAAAGACCGCTTATACACCGAGAATGAAGTGCCCTAATCTGATTTTTAATTCGTCCAGCGTATACCATATAATGAATCTCCGCTCATTCTTCAAAAACGTGTTGTCGGAATACCTCATCTTTCAAGTGAACATTATTCGCCGAGACGGTACTAGCTACATATTCGCCCGAGCGAAAGTCTCCATTAAAGATATCTTAGATTATCCGCAAAACAAGTTGCATTATATCGTTCCTGTGAACAGTGTAATTTGTTCCATCTTCGGCGTTAATTTTGGCCAACTATCGTTGTGGGTCCGGTTGAGCTGCAATGTCGATATGGTCGAAGCTTTTAAAAAGCAAAGTGGCATAAGCTCGTTGAAAGATATCCATACGCCTTCAATAAACAACATTTCTAAGATTCCACTTCCTGAAAATGCTACAAAACAAATCATTGATATAGTGTCGTTCAAAGATCAGCAACAAAAAAATAATTTGATGTTTGAAGATTCAACGAATGGCCAAGCGCCATTAGACTCAAGTAACATTGCTTAAGATTTGTATATATATTTGATTGGAATATTTGATTGAGAACTGCATTTATTAAATAATTATACTTTTTTTTGTATATGATTAAGTCGATTGGGATTGTATGCCACTAGCGGCAATTGTATTATAATCAATCATACAAATATTATTAAGACAATTGGTGAATTAAATTATATTAATTTCATGTATTGAATACTTTAATACATAACGTCATTTTATCAAAATTATAGATTTTCAATATGAAACTGAAAACTCGGACGAGGAAAATTCTTATGTCAATTTAAATAATGAAAAATTGCCTATCAATGAAATGTCTGAAGAAGAACCTGGAACGTGTGCAATGAAGTGAGATTTCTTCTTTGTTGTCTCATTGTGTTTTCTCACGTTATTTAAATTGCTCGTAAAATTGAATCTTGCAACTTGAAAAATAATTTTAATTAGTTCAGATTACAAAACGGATAAAAATGAGGAGAATGAGGAAAATAACGCTTTGAGGGACTCACCAAGTATGGCAAAGTTCAAAACATTATTGACGAATGTAAGATATGTTTAGCATGTTATGGAAAACTTTCGCGATTGTATGAGAAATAGCAAAATCGTGTTATTTGTAAATTATTGAGATTCCGGATATTTCGTATTCAGAATATTTCGTCGCCCGAAGGATCAAGCAGCACGATCCGCGATATGGACGAGATTCTCTCGAACAAAAACTGGGAGAGGTATAAGCAGAGGAATCCACTGACTTTTGACAGTACATTTAATAATTTATTACATGTATGTTGTATGTTATATTCATGTATGTTGATTGAATAGCTCTGTATTGAATTAGTCGTCCAAAAACACTTGCAGGTGCTAACGAGTTAAACGTGGAAGCGCAGAATTACCAAAATGGCATCTGTATTTGCGTACGAGACTGTTCCATTAATTATATTTAGATGCTCCACAAAGAGTGCTGGATTACAAACATAAATTTTCTGTAATAAAAAAAGCTACCGACTATATATTTTATACTGTTTAGTTATTTAACGCTGTAAGTTAAATAGCTACAGTAAATTGAGCTTCATAGTTTAATTTAAAAAAAAAATCAATCATATTTTATTTAAATTTCCAATTTTATTGTTTAATGCAAAAAATTAAAATTTGCGGAATAAGGTAACAGAATTTTCGTCGAAGATGTATCATGCATAAATTTATAGAAAATTATATTGTTATTACAATAAATTGTCATACTTTTGATGTAAATAAATTAGTGCATTGTACACCAGCATTTCTGATGGAAAAGCATACCTAAAACTTAATAAATACTTTCATTAAAAGTGTATCAATTTTCAAATGTACGTGATATTGTATAAAGATTAATTCAATGTAATTCTGATTTGAATACGCTCTTTTCAGCGCAATGAAAATGATGCGATAATCATAGAAATAGTGAGTATGCAATTTTTCGACGACAGTTGCGTGATGCAGGACGATGAGATACATTTGCTTTACGTAGAATATTCTTTTCTCGAGAAACATGGCGAAGATATGGAGACCATTTCCATGGAAAAACCAAAAACAAGTGCTCAAGAAATGGTCTACAATTATAAGAAAAGTATATACCTTTATGTTATGCGTAACAGCAAATATTTAGATTAATATTTAGATTAATATTATAAATTAATAAAAAGACGCGTCTTCAAATATAATATAAATTATAAATGAGAAAAATGATCATTCAGAAAGCATGTAGCGTAAATAAGTACAATAGTTTATAATTTAATCTAATTTTAGAATTTTGGATAAATGAAGCGACACATCCCGTACAAAGAGAAAATTTGCGCGCCATGTTAGCCGAAGACGTAAGTCCAAATATCAATTTTACTGTTATTAGTGAACCATTACCCGAGGAAAGGGAAGTTAAAGATTGTGAGGAAGTGGGGCAAGTATAATGATTTATTAAATCTATTTTATTTGGAATGTTCATAGTATTATTGCAAATATATAGAAATTTATATCTATTACTTCGCGTTTCCTTTTACAATAACCTTCAATTTTATGATTTTATAAGATTGTGTGTGTGATTTGAGATTTAATATTTAATAACTAATTTCTATTCGCATTTTTTTTAGTTATGCAACTTTTAATATAAAAAAATATGCGCTTGGTAATGAGTGCAAATATATATTATTACCGATTAAAGATAATCAAAATAGAGAAATTGGGACACTGAAGGTAATACATATTATACATTATCTCTTTGTTAATAATTATTAAATTTAAATTTATTACAGATATCTGTGTCTGGTATGAATGCTATTCGACGATGTTTACCAGAATTAAGCTAGATCGATTGCATTTGGTACAAATAGCAATATGAGAGACAAATATTACATGCATTTAGATTATTAGAAGATGATCGAATTGAAGTTAAAAGATCAGTATTCTGACTCAAGAAGAAGAATTCAATTTCTAATTATATTTATTCAAAGTTTATTCAAAATTGTCTACATATTTTCTAATACATTAAATTATGTTGTAATGTCAAATTGATAAAAAATATTGACACATTTATTAATCTTTAAACAACTTGCTTGTACTTTCTTGAGTTTATAATTTATATAAATTATTGTTGGTTTACAGACTTTGTTTAGCGCTAAACTTTTTTATTGTCTTTCTAGCGTTTCTTTACATTTTCGTCGAGATGTCTAAGTTTTTTCCTTTTCTGCTTTGGTCCATTGATGCAGCGTATTATTTGATTGCAACATTCTGTTTTGTCGAACTGTATTATTCATTGAGATTTCAGCGGTTCTATTATTTTTGTTTTTTTTTTTTTAAGTAATCGCACGATCTTTTGATGTTGTTTTTTCATCTCTGACGAAAGTTTGTTTCGGCGAAATATATCATTGTAGATATTTGTAGCTATCTGAAACTCTCTGCAATCCTGTGGGCTACGGGTAATTGACCAAACACCCACTATCGCGTCGATACCCTGGCATACTCTACACGCACCTGTGTATATTATTATAGATCTATTTAAAAATTTTTGACTGATTCCTCGCGTGTAATATTTATCAAATGCGAAAAAATTAATTTACTCTGTCGCCTATCGTACCTATGAACACCGCCAGAGATTTCGTGCGATTGTCAATGGCAAGTAAGGAAAACGGTCCACCCTTTGTAAACGGTGCATGTCCGGTTAAATTCCAGGCGGGATTCAATAAACCTTGATGAGCGAGCGGAGGTGATAATTTTACGAGCGTCACGTTTATGGTGCGATTAGTAACTTTCATGTCGATTCGCATTCCACCCTGAATAGTTATCCATGAACCCGATATCTTGCAAGGCAAACCTATGTTGAAAAAGCATTATTTAGCAATATTTTACACATTTTTAACATTAAGCTCTCTTAAGCTGGCCACACTTGTTCAAGTAAACTTGTTAGATATGCTTGTGCAAGCCGCTTGTACAAATTTATTTGAACGTACCTGGTTGGCCTTGGACTTCCAAAATAATGCATAAATTTTAATTTGGTTAATAAGATATAGATATATTGGCTAGTTGAAATTAATTTATAATAAAGAGAACTTATTGATATTTAATGCCAAGTATTAATCAAATGTCGAATTTAAAGTAAATTAAGATTATGCAGTAACCTTCTATCTGTTCATTTTCAGTGGCTCGATTTGATTTAATTTCTTCCAATTCGTCAACAATTTTCTCCAATATCTGATTGGCAACTTCCTTGGTTTCGTTTAACGTCGCAGAAACATTCGCACGTTGTATTTCTTCCGTTGTCTTTATTGAAATCACAGGTGCAAGATTATCACGCATTTGCTCGTTCGTTGATTTGTTATTTGTGTTATCATCGCTTTGGAATTGTCCATGAATACTTTGAATCACTTTCTCCTTAATTAATCCTTGTTTGTTACAATTGTTGTACCAACTCTGTTTGATATCATTTTCTCGCTCGGGAATCAAGACATGTTCTATTGGTCGATTGATAGTTGATTGAGAAATTACCGGAGCGTGACTGATAATTTTGTGTATGACTTGACTCGTGGAAATAACAGGATAATTATTAGATAAACGTGCTGTTGCAGGTTCAATATGCTTCTCAGCGATGTAGATATTCGAAGTTCCCGGAATTTTGCGAAGGATGTGCGGCACATCCATTGAAGTACCGGAATAGAGCACTTCTTCAGGTTTGCTCATCTCTGGTATAGTACTTAAATTTGAATACAGACGAGGAGTTCTTAGATCCTGATATTGTAGCACATTGCTGGGAATATGTTGAACTTCGATTTGCGGACCAAGAATGATATCCGCACTGGTAGTGAGAACTTCCGCGAAATCAAGATCAGAATTGACAAAATTTTCAGTAGTAGATTCCATCTCATTGATGTATATGCTTTCTTTAGGTTGATTAATGTTCAATACTTGAAACTGATAATCCTTCTGTGTTATCTCGGGAATGTACAGATTTCCTGAATCGGTTTTCTGATCGATCAGTATCGGCAAATACGTAGATGCGTAATTGATAGCGTTATCTTCATTCGCTTGACCGATCACAGAATGATCGATCTCCCAAGGTTTTAATAATTCGTAATCGTAAGTTAAATCTTTATTATACGAATCTCTGTCTGTGACTTGCTGTTTGAATCGCGAACGATTGATTAATGATTTGCTGGCAAAGACAGAACCGTTGGAGATTTGTCTAGCGATTCTGTCGTTTCCAATCTCTGTTTCATCTTTTGATTGCATTTTAATTGGTTCGACATTGTCGTTATTATAATACTCCGAAGATACGAATCCATGATTTCTGGAATCTTTTTTAAAATTTTTTTTTTGTATTAAGCGTTTAATAATTTTCTTATTTGGCATTCCGCTGATTTTTCGATGCCTTTGTCTTGAGCGACTGTCTTTTTCACTTACAAAGTTTTGTTCATCAATGTTATTTTTAATCATTTTATTCACAGTATTTTGGTTTGTCTTATCAATATTAACAGGTAGATTTATTTTTCGTCGTTTCTTCTATAGAATAAATATTACTAATTAAATTAATATTTAAGTAGAAAAATAATAAGATCTTTCTTTTATTCACCTTAATATGATTTTGCTTGCGTAACCAAGGATGTTCTTCGTAACGTTTTAATCCATGTTTATTTCTCTTTTTTTTCCTCTTTTCATTACGATTTAATAATTCATTCAGTTTTCTCGTACTTACTATTGGTTTACGTACACTTTTCATTCTATCTACCAGTAAATCTTTCATATTAGAATGATTCTGTACAGTCCCGCTTAAATTTACCAATTTCTTTATATTACGTTGTAATTGCGGCGATTCGAGAGCTTCCTTCGCTAATTTCTGTGCTAAGAGTTTAGTTTCTTTTTGTTCAGGATTGAATGTATCCTCTAAATCTATATTTTTGTCAAATTTTTTATTAGAAACTTCCTCGTCTAAATTCGATCTTTTTACTATCGTTCCCTTTTTACATGTATTATCGTCTTGTATGCGGAAAAAATCTTTTGCACGCGGGATAATTGATTGCACAGCAGACACGTCATTGCAAATTATTCTGAGTAGTAATGATATTATCATAACGAACCTGATCACACATAAGGAAAAGTTGTGTACATATCGCAATAAAATTTGGCAATACATAAGATATCAAAGATGTGTACAATGCCAAGAATACCTGTAGCGTTTGCTTGTACTTCTTGGTATCATTTACAAAGCATTTACTATTCTAACAAGAAAATCCCTCCTTCCTTTCTCCTATTTTTTATTCAAGATTTATTTATTAATTATAGCTCAAACTTTACGATCTCGCACTTCATCGGCGAAACCGAGAAGTTGCACAATTCGAGTTCCTCGTAACTACATCGATAGATAAAAATGTGAGCGATAAATCGACATGTAAATGTTGCTTTCTTCTCGCCAATCTCATTTTGTCGCGAATGCCTTCATTAGACTGAATAAGGCATCATTAGATTTAGCTTTGTTTTGTGTTCAGAGTTAGTACAATTCAAATATTTAAAAATTATAATTTAATAAATAAAAGTATATATAATTTTTCATCATTTTCAACATTGCCAAACTTTAGTGTTTGTTCGCCAAAATTTTATATCACATTAAATTGTTGTTAATGTTTTTCAGGATAATTAACATTTTTATGACGTTAAATTTGCAACGCTGTATTACATATTGTAACAGATTCGATACGCTAATAAATCTCATCTGCTCTCAATTTAAAAGCCGCGTACAATAACGAAATACGTCATAACTGATCAGTAGTAAAGAAATCGCAGTCAGTATAACGCTGTTAACCGTCTTGGTATCGATTTGGATCCGTGAAGAGAAATCCCTGGAGAGACGTGCAGGCATCGATTATTATTAGAAGCGGCCGAAACTCGGCCAATTGACCGCGCTACGAATTAGCATATGCAAACCCCATAACAATGATTTCGCAGTAGTTGTTCTCATTTCAGTTTGTAAAACAAGAATGGTTTATTACATCAAAAATAAAAAAAACATTTTATAAGTAGAAGAATAGCTGATTTTATCAAAGAGAGAGAAAGTTTTACGTTACTTTATTTTTTAAAATTATTTTTTGAAAATTAATTGAAAAGAATAAAAAAAATAGTAAATAAATTAGAAAATATTTCAATAATATTAAGGTTAATATTACGGCTAAAAGATTAAGGATTTAAAAAATATTTCATCAATTATTTGTGATTTAGTATTTTTTAAATTAATAAAATAACAATAAGTTGTATGGACATTTTCAGAAAAGAACACTAGAAGAAATGTATGATTAATAACATTTTAGTGTACTTGAACATATATATATGTTCTAATTGAGTAACGACTACATCAATTCAGATAGTAGTTCAATTTAAAAATAGAAGGGAATTTTATCGTCCTGTAGAACAAATGTAATGTTTGAAGAACAGAATTGAGATATAGCGATTAAGCGGAAAAATTTAAGAAAGCAATCCGGAGCATCACGTCGAAGAGATTATCGATGGCGATGAGGAGGTAGAGAAGAGAAGAAGAAGAAACTGCGTTCGGGCATCGGGACGCGTTGTCGCTGGCATTGGTAGCAGTCTCGAGATAGCCGTCGGTTGGCTTCCTCACTGGCTCGGGCGATTTATTCGGAGATTCCTAGGTAGTCAAAGTGGCGAGCGAGTGACTCGGTGACGTCGACGGAGATCGACGAGGAAGATCATTTTGTATACGTAATTCAATTGCTTTCCCCTTTACGTGTTAAATCCGATAATCCGAGGGTTGGTGAGTGAAAGCCGAGGCAGTCTCGAAGGTCCTGGAGGTCAGTGCATAGCTCTCTCCTCTTTCTCTCCCCCCAGGGCAGTTCTTCT